CTGGAACTGCTGTTCAAACACACAGAATAAATAAAGTTTGTGTGAGAATTAATGTTTACTATTCTATGTTAATACAAAGGTTTATTAAGAAACAAAATAAAATAATAAACAGATTGAACGTAGAAATTCACTTCATTTTCAATCCACAAGCACAATATAAAATAGTCAAACCACAACTTTCTGTTAGATCATTAATCATTTACAGTATTCCTAAATTGAGTTTAGAAACTCAAGGTTCACTTTTTAGGTGCCATAAATTGATTAACTTTACTACCATAATATTCAATACATTCACTGATCTTGAGTCTATACATCTTTCACCTCATTAGAAGGTAGTGCCTGTATGCAAAATGAGGAAAAGAAACAAGCAATGCAATAGTGCTGGAAACACAGAAATGAAAGCCCAAAACCAGTTGGAATAGGAAGGAGGAAGCATTATGTGTGGCCTTTTGGACCCAGCATGTGTAGGCTCAGAGTAAGCTGTCACATAATCTTGTGTATGCAAAGCATTCCTATAAGGAAATTGTCCCTCCCTTGCAAAGTCAGGACCTTGCTCCTGCAAAGTTGAGAAGATACTTTAAGTTCATATCAAATGCAAAAACATGGAGAACTATAGTTTCAACCATGATAATAGTAAGCTAAAGGTGAGCCATAACCCAAACAATCAATTTAACACTCAACTTCAGTTACTACACCTAGCAAAGATTAATACTAATAAGTTATTCTTTTTCCACAGGATCTAAATAACTCATACAAAATGCTTTAAAGATCTAACATTCTAATGGGGAAGAAAAACAATTAGCGAGCACCAGATCAATGGATTACACCAACACTTAAAACACATAATCCACAAAGTACTAAAGTAGACCCAGGAAGAATATTTTAAGACCATAATTGAGCCTTTTTCTCATAAAGTATAACTAACCCTTCTTGCAGGATGTGACCTGAGATAATCCACACGAATCTGGTCTCCACTGATCAGCTTCCCATTTATAGTTTTAAGTGCTTCTGTTGCATCTTCCAAACGAGCATAGTCAATATAAGCTGTGCTCCGATCCTTTATGAATTTGAATTCTAGGATTTTGCCAAATTTCTTAAAATGTTCCTCTAATTCTTCTTTAGAAACAGAATGGCCTATCCCAGCCACCCACAGACTTTTGCACGGCTTAGCCTACCAAAGAGAATAAAAATTTAAAATAGATTATATAGCTGAGGTATAGCAAGTTACAACCAATGTATAAAAACACTTGCAGAATGAATGAATACTTCAATAAAGAAAAGAAACACATGTGAGAGGCACTACATACTTGATCATCCAATCAGATCATTTATAATGAGCAAATTTGTTCCAGATTTTCATTATAACAAATTTTCAACAGAGTTATTGAAGATAATGGTATTGACCACACAATTAATGCAGCATCAATCACATTTTCTTTTAGTTACACCAACATATTCTTCTTAGCAAGGCACCACACCGTTAACTAAGCTAAAGTCCTCAGTCATACAAACTCAAGCAGAAACTCAGAAAGAGACAGGTGAAGGGTATGATCATGTTTAAGGGAATTCCTTAATTTATTCTAAGGCATTCAGTCCAAGACTCCAAGATGAAAAACACAGTTGTTAAGCAATGAATCAATGAAACATTAAGACCGCACAGGATTTTCAGAACAGTGGAAGGAAATTGAAGGCGTCATGTTGGGATGGAAATAATGGAATCATCATATTCACAGGATAGAAATTATGAACAAAACCATATCAGGGGATGTGGAGGCAGAGGTTACTTGGAAGATAACCTTTTGTCTCAGTGCAAATATAACTTTTATTCTTATTATTCTTCTATGATTTTACTACACACCACATAAATTTGGCACATAATCATAAGATGTCTCCTCTACTGAAGATAATCTTGATATTCTCCAGGGTAGAGCTTGAAGATGGCAACATTATGCACAGATTGAACTTCAAATCCCTCACCCCCATGCTTATGCTTTTAATTCAAAAAGCTGAACATAAGATTTGAGTATGTCCGACATTCGTTGTAAAAGGTTGATCAATTGGGGAACTGCTATCATGTGAAATTGCATACATTTGAAGTGTTCAGTGGTTTAATTGCACTTTTTTTTTTCTTCAGTGGCCTAATTGCATTTTCAGGTTACGTTCAGTGACCAATTTAAACCTTATTCCAAAATTTTAATTTGTTTACAAAATGTACTATTTCTAAGTATGACTATATATGTTGTAGACAAAGAAATTTTCGATAATATTTAATAAAATTGCAATGTTTATCATTATGAAATTATTAGTTATTCATATATTCTAATTTTTTCTTATTACATTATACTGTATATTTTATATATGGCAGTGCATCGCACGGGTGCAAATACTAGTGTATTAAAAAATTTTGTATTTCTTTGAAATCCTCATCACTCGTATACTTTGCCATTTTTTTTCCATCTGCATCTTCTTCTTTTTTTATTAAACCTAAGAGCATCCCAATTGCGATTTTGATAATATATACTCAATATATAATACATGTTATTCAGTTTCATTTTATACACACTATAGTTTCATTACAATATAATTGAAATATCATTATAGTTCAATTACAATTTTATTTAATAATATGCACTCAATATGTGAGACATGTTATTCAGTTTAATTTTACACATTATAATATTCCATACGTCACCATTAAAGTATCATTATTATTCAACTACACAAAGTGTCATTATAATTCAACTACACATTCATCTGAAAATACTCAACATTCTCGTAGACGCAAAATTAATTATACTAAATGACCGTCATTTATTTTCGTTAAAAGAAATAACGATGATCCAACGGTTATTATTTATAGCCATAGGTTATAAATATATAAATTTTGCAATTATATATAGGCACCATAAAACTCAAATTATTAATGTGTTTATAAAATTCATTTAACTAAAATCTATATTATTATATACTCACATCCACATATTAAAGATTGATTATGGAATGATGAATTGTAATTTTGTATTACGAATCGAAAAAAAAAAAAAAAACAAAATATATCTGCTGCGCAAATACAGTTCACTAGTAGGAAAGGGACAAGTAACTGAAACTGAAACAATCAGCTTCAAACAGTACAGAAGCCCTGCCACCTTCAGAAATAAATGATGTTACTAGAGTACAACCAACTCAGCGTAATAAATTGCACAAACATTTTGTTTCAATTTTATTACTATCTACATTTTTTTTCTCTCAGCTTCCCATATCATTCTTATTATCTCAGAAATAAGACAAAAGAAGATATTTTTAATTTATTATACCACATCTCCACTACAACTTCAAACTACAATATCCAAGGACTAGGATCAAAACTCAAAAGCGCTTTCTGGTTTTCTCTTTTTCTTCATATGAGACCATGAGTACACTATTAAGAAACATTTCTAAACCCAAGACATTCAGAAACCCTGAAAGGTGTGTCTTAACAAGTTCTGAGTTTTCATTAATTAATTAAATATATATTAGAACGGAATCCAACAAAAATAAAACCAGTTACCATAGGACCTAGAAATTGAATCACCTAAGTCACTTTATTTACTCCTCATTGGCACATTCCATACGATTATCCCCATCCAAAAGTAAAGTGAGTCCATAATCCCTTCCGTAGACACACACAGTATTAGGTTTCTCTGAGATACTGCTACTAGGGTAACTTTCTATGTCACACAAATGCAATTAACAGTAGATGCCATCTAAAACACTTTAGTAGAACTATAAGATTAGTTAAAGAGTGATATGAATGGGACATTGGGACTAAGGTGTAACTATGAAAACTTTCCATTCTCCCAACAACAAATAAAAACAAGAGGAAAGAAAGATGAAACGCTTCAAGAATATTTAACCTGAATTACTTGGTCAGTATTACTTGAATCAGATAACAATGTATAACAAGTTTCATTTGGAAGCATACCTTCAGAAACGTACATCAGTCTTCTCCTTGTGCCAGCAACCTTGTTCCGTGATTTATTCTATTCCACATATTGCCTATTGTTGAGACACAGATTCTCATATCCACTTCCGAAATCTCAAAACAAGCCCACGATATTCTTGGAACAGTGATCCCATATCTGCAAAGATGTCATTATTTCATGAATAAAGAAGTGCTACACAGATATGCCTCAACAAGTAAATACTACTTCAGTATTGTCAAGGAAAGATAGTCAAATGACTAACTTTAGATCTCACATGTGTTGACACAATTCTGCATGGTTGCTTGTGGGAGAGACGGAAATATAGACCTATCTACACCATTCAAAAGATAATAATTTTGCATAGACAAGATAGACGACAAACTTCTGATGTGGGTGACACTATTAACTAGAAAGATGGAATGAAAACATTAGGGAATGACCCCTTTAATGTGTGACAAATGCAGAAAGAGAAGTTCTTCAAAGGTTCAATTATCCCTCAAAAAAGTATTTGCACCCATTCTGTAGTCCTTTTTTCTTTTGAGGTAGTAGGGGAGTACTTGCAGAAGTTGGACTAAGGGAAACACATCCTGCATCTATTGATTCTTTTGCAAGGATCATATTTACCAAGTCTCCAATATATACTCCTTTGCCAGTATTTAGTTTATGCACAATGCAGCTGCTATAAAATTTTATTCATTTCCTTTATCTAAGTTGGGAGAATTAAAGGATGGAGTAAGAATTTAAAAGTGGTGAGCTACATAGTAGAAGGGGACAATACGAGAAGTTCTTTTTAAGTTATAGAGTTCAGAGAAATAAGGAATCATGGTTCCCCTTGGTGTCAAGGTGGCTTCATCCCAATTAATTAGAAACTAGTATGCACAAATATTATATCAAAGTCTGGGCACAAAGAAACTTTCATGGCCATACTTACACGACTGGTGGCAGAACGCTGTATGCACAAAGCATCGTAGCAATTAGCAGAAAAAGAATGGCAAGAGATGAAACAAAAGTTCTTCCAGACAGGAAAAACCAGTAATATATCAAAAACCGTAGCAGAAGAGACTGTATAGTGTATAGAGAGAAGTACATAGAGAGCCCTAGGTAAAAGTACATACAACCGAATTATGCGTTCAAACCCGCCTGCTGTGATATGTACTACTCACGTTACCCAAACAAAAGTTCTTCCAGACAGGGAAAACCAGTAATATATCAAACCATAGCAGAAGAGACTGTATAGTGTATAGAGAGAAGTACATAGAGAGCCCTAGGTAAAAGTACATACAACCTAATTATGCGTTAACATCCGCCTGCTGTGATATATCTCTGAGCATGTCCACTGTACTACTCACGCCATCCAAAGCATGACGCACCAAAATATTAACTCGCCTCAAAATTCTTGCGGCGTTTTCCCAAGCTGCTATTCTTTCCTTTGTTACTTTCAGCGAGGCCTCCATTTCGATGATGCATTCATTAACTTTCTGATCACGCTGCTTCAGGTCATCAGCCTTACCACACAACTCGGGTGTGGAGGGTGTGGTGGGTAATGGAGACAGTTCAAAACCCCCCTTGCTATCATGGGTGTGTGACAGGGCAGGGATGTCCTTGGTGTGTGACACGGCAGGGATGTCCTCGGTGTGTGACACGGCAGGGCTGTCCTCGGTGTGTGACACGGCAGGGCTGTCCTCGGTGTGTGACACGGCAGGGCTGTCCTCGGTGTGTGACACGGCAGGGCTGTCCTCGGTGTGTGACACGGCAGGGCTGTCCTCGGTGTGTGACACGGCAGGGCTGTCCTCGGTGTGTGACACGGCAGGGCTGTCCTCGGTGTGTGACACGGCAGGGCTGTCCTCGGTGTGTGACACGGCAGGGCTGTCCTCGGTGTGTGACACGGCAGGGCTGTCCGTGTGTGACACGCCGTGGCTGTCAATGTATAAAACACTCTGGCTGTCAATGTGTGACACACTGTGGCTGTCTGAAACTGAAACGCCCCGGATTGCCAGTGCCCGGGTGTCAGAACCCCCCGGGCTGTCAACGATGCCATTCAGTAAGTTGTTGGCATCATTCAGTAAATTGTTGGCATCTTTCAGCAGACTTTCTGTCCTAATCAGCTTGCACAACTTAGATTGCCAACCTACTAACACTTTTTCTGCTTGATCAAGATCATTTCTTAATGAATGCATAGTGTTTTCTTGATCTTCGACCATCTTGGTCCATGCCAATAGCACATGATCAGTCATGACACCTGATACATAAAAAATATATAGATAAGATTCCAAAAAACAGCAATAGGCAAAATAACAGACTCCCAGAAATGAATTCTCTAATCAAAATTCAATTCCTAAGATACTGCTTTCTTGATCTTGACAATCTCGGTCCATAGCAATTGTACTATATCCCCCATTCCGACTCAAAGGGTAGGTAGGGCTAAACCAAAAGAAAAAGATTCCAAAAAACAGCAATAGGCAAAATAACAACTCCAAGAAATGAATTCTCTAATCAGTTTGAAAATTCAATTCCTAATAAATGGATACTGCTTTCTTGATCTTGACAATCTCGGTCCATAGCAATTGTACTATATCCCCCCTTCCGACTCAAAGGGTAAGGGTAGGGCTAAACTAAAATAAAAAGATTCAGGAAAAATAACAGACTTTCTTACTGCTTTCTTGATCGACAATCTCGGTCCATAGCAATAGTACTATATCCCCACCTCCGACTCAAAAGGTAGGGCTAAACCCCAAAAAACAGGCTAAATAACAGACTATCCCCTGATTAGAAAAAAAAAAGGAGAAGAATTACCTTAAAAATTTCTGAGGGACGGGGCGGCGACGGCGGCGACGGGACGGCGGGACGGCGGAACGGAGGAGACGAGGAGAGAGAGACGGGTTGAGGAAGAATCAGGGTTTAGCCGTTTAGGGTTTATTTATAACATCGGTCTAATGGCCAATATATATATATATATATATATATATATATATATATATATATATATATTTATTTATTTATTTATTTATTTATTTATTAGCGTACAATTATACATATATTTATTTATTTATTATTATTGTTATTTTTATTTTTAGAATTTTAAAAAATCATTTGTCCGCCTGGCCCACTTCGCTCAGGTACTTGTTTTTTAACTTTTGATGCCGCCTTTATTTATTCTCACTTGCTCTTCAGTGTTTACTACCGCTCATGATAAAAGTTCGTCTTCAATCTCCACTTTTTTTTTTTTTGAAGAAAAGGAAAGCTTAGATTAAATCATGATAAAGAGCATTACAAATGAAAGAATGAGGGTTAGCAAACCACTCCATACGTTCAGACTTAAAAACAGACTCCCTAGCTAAGAGGTGGGCAGTCCGGTTCGCAGAACGCTTAACAAACGAGATACAACTGTGAGTAAAAGAACTCAATGTATCTTTTACATCCAAAAGCAGTAAATCAAAAGAGGAGGCAGAAGCTAAGTTTTTGAGTCCCTGGACAGCCAATAAAGAATCAGTCTCCACATGTAGATGATCCAGATTAAGAGCTTTTGACCAATTGATGGCTTCCCTGATTGCAAGAGCTTCTGCTTCACTGGGAGAAAAGGAACCAGTCCATGGTGAGCAGGCAGCTGCAACAAAATTCCCGTGGTCATCACGAAGCACCCATCCGAGACCCATCTTGCCGGCATTGACATCCAAAGCCGCATCAACGTTCAATTTCATCCACCCTGGCTGGGGAGTTTGCCATCTCACAGTGCATGGATTGTGCTGCTGGATTTGTAAATATTCTAGTTCATTGCACTCATTCCAATCCTTGAGAAAATTCCATGAGCTCCTCACGATAGATGCAGCAGGCGAAGCAATGTTTTTCCAGACTCTGTCATTTCTCGCACGCCAAATGAACCAACAGGTTAGAACAAACAAACTGAGGTGTGATGATTGCATGGTACGGAAGGCCTGAGACAACCATTCTGAGCAATTTTGGAAGGAGTCCTTGTCCGGCACATGATCAAAGTTGGACCAGCAATCAGTAGCAAATTTACAGTGAGCTAAAAGGTGAAAATCTGATTCAACTACTTCATGACAGAGAGGGCAAAGAGGTGAGCAGTCCACATTTTTCTGGCGGAGCTTATCTGCTGTTGGAAGGCAACCTGTGCAGGCTTGCCAAATGAAGGTCTTCGCTCTTGGAGGAATATGCAACTTCCAGACCACAGCCCATTCCTTTGACGCATCATTGGATAAATCTCCCATAATAGAGTTGTAGCAGCTTCTAACAGAGAAAGTACCTTTAGCGTCTTTATCCCATATCACCAAATCTTCTCTATTGCCATGAGGGATGGGAATGCTTAGGATCAGCTGAGCATCTCTATGGTTAAAGATTTCCTTTACCATCTCCACTTGGTGAGCTTAGTTTATGCTTTTGCATATAATTTTGTTATTTGTTCCCTTAGTTCTAAAAGAGGTTTTTGAATCTGCGGTTTTGGTGTTTAGTTCACTTAGGGTTTTCCCCTTTCATTTCGTGCGAACCTTGGCTTGGTTGGGTTTAATTTATGGTTTTCTTACTTTCTCAAGTTCGAATCTGCGTTTTGTTTTCGACCTCAATTAGGGTTTTTTTTTTTTCCCTGTTCATTTCGCTAGAGTTTGAACTTATTTTTTTTCTCTGTTTCCATATGTTGGCTGTTTCACTGATTTTCTTGTGTTTACATGGCTGGGACCAATATGAATCAGTAATTGAGTAATGTTCGCATCTCTTGACGATTTGTTGACAGGTCACATTTGGTCTTTTGCTGCACATTCTAATAAAAAAAACATTTTGTTCTTCCAACAAGATCTGTGGCTGTACATCTGTTGTTCTGCGTAGCAATTAGAAGTTTAAAAAGGGTGGAAGTTAGTGTTTTGGGGACTTATTGGAGCAAAGTTTGTGACTTTTGTTTCTGGTTTGCAAGTTTGGTGTAATGGAGCAAGGTACAACATCAAACTCAGTTCCAGCAGCTGAGCCTATTGATAAGTCTAGGATCTTGGATATAAAGCCCATAGTTCCAGTATTTCCATCTGCAAATGGGATGTCAGCAAGCGGCGCTCCCCAACCTTCACCCTTTACTTGTGTTCCTCCATCTGGTCCTTTCCCTCCTGGAGTTGCTCCTTTTTACCCATTTCTGGCTCCAAATGACTCAGGTAGACAAACTGAGCAAACTCCATTTGGTTTTACTCAGCCTATATCCCCTGTTCCTTTGAACTCATTCAGAACTCCAATGTCAAATGGTGATACTGGGAGGTCAAGGAGGACCACAAGAACTGTTGTAGAAGATGATGGTTATAGTGACCAGAGTGATCAGTTTGACTTTGGCGTTCATGTGAATGATGTTGAAGACACCAGTACTGCAAGGAAAAGGGGAAGACCTTCGAGAAAGACAAGGAGACATGCCCATCAAGGTGAACCACTTGCTGAGGTGGATTATGAACCTATTCTACATGGTTTCCTTGAATCATTTAAACTAACTGAAATAGATATGTTTAAAAAAGCTGATGGTGACAAGGATCTAGTTGGATGTATGATTTGTTCTGAAGAAAGATGACCCAGATTGAAGAGATGAAAGACCCATCTCCAGGATCTGCCAGACGTCCAGACTTGAAGGCTGGGACAATGTTGATGACGAAAGGAGTTCGTTCGAATCAGACAAAGAGGGTCGGGAATGTACCCGGGATTGAAGTTGGTGATATCTTCTTTTTCAGGATGGAGTTATCAGTTATGCGGGGTTGGATTACATTCTCCAAGCATGGCTGGAATAGATTATATGAGTGTCAAGTTATCTACGGATGATGAGCCTATTGCTGTCTGCATAGTCTCATCAGGTGGATATGATGACGAGGGGGATGATGGGGATGTGCTAATTTACACTGGCCAGGGTGGAGTACAGAGAAGGGATGGACAAATGTTTGATCAGAAACTTGAAAGGGGAAATCTTGCTTTGGAAAAGAGTCTGCATCGTGCCAACGAGGTAAGAGTTATTAGGGGTGTGAAGGATACTTGGACTACCGGGAAGATTTATGTCTATGATGGTTTATACAAAATTCAGGAGTCATGGGCAGAGAAAAATAAGTCTGGATGCAATGTTTTCAAGTACAAATTGGTTAGAACACCTGGACAGCCTGAGGCTTATGCCTTGTGGAAATCAATTCAGCAATGGAAGGATGGTATTAGTTCAAGGACTGGGGTCATCCTTCCAGACCTAACTTCTGGTGCGGAGAGTCAACCAGTTTCTCTAGTAAATGATGTTGATGATGAGAAGGGACCTACTTATTTCACATACATTTCAACTCTTAAAAACCCAAAGCCCTACGAAATGCCTAGTCATACTTTCAGCTGTCATTGTCATGGTGTGTGCCAGCCTGGGGACTCCAACTGCTCTTGTATCCAGGGAAATGGAGGTTTTCTGCCTTATAATGCACTAGGGGTTCTCTTGACCTACAAGGCTTTGATACATGAGTGTGGTCCATCCTGCCCTTGCCCTCCCAATTGCCGAAATTGATTATCTCAAGCAGATCTTAAGGTCCGGCTCGAGGTCTTTAAAACAAAGAACAGAGGTTGGGGACTTAGGTCCTGGGATCCTATTCGTGGAGGTTGTTTTATCTGTGAGTATGCCGGAGAAGTCATTGATGCGTCTAGGTCAGATGAATTTGGAATTGATAGCGAAGATAATTATATATTTGATGCCTCCCGGAACTATCAGCCATTGGAGAAGGTACCTGCTGATAATGGTGATTCTGCCAAAGTCCCATTTCCTCTTGTTATAAGTGCAAAAAACAATGGGAATGTAGCTCGGTTCATGAACCATAGTTGTTCACCCAATGTGTTCTGGCAGCCAGTTGTACGTGAAAGTAACAATGGTGCTTTTTACCATATTGCCTTTTTTGCCATCAGGCATATACCTCCCATGCAGGAATTAACCTTTGATTATGGGATGGTTCGGTCTGATAAAGCAGAGCAAATGAGGAAGAAGTGCTTGTGTGGATCGTTAAACTGCAGAGGATATTTTTACTAGTCATCAACCTGGAGTATGGGGTTTCTACATATCTAATATATCCTTTGCATAAAGGTTAGTAACCTCTATTCTCCTGTTCCTATTCAACAATTTTCTCCCATTTATTTTTAGCTGCTTCTGTTGACTTCTCAGTGCTTTGTTTATTGAAATTGTATGAGTGGTGTTTCTATCCTGTGAAAGTTTTGGTTGCACTTGACTAGTTTGGATTTAAAGTACAGAATTATCCTCATTGAAGAAAATCTAATTAAGAACATTCCATTTAATAGAAAAGTATAAAACAGGATGAATTCACTTTATGCTTTCTCAATCTAAACTTGTAAAATATATTTTAATGATCTTCATGAGGTGCAAAATAACTGTTCAGGTAAATCTTTTTGTAGCCGATTGAGGTCTAAAATTTGTTTTAAAAATGTTTTGATAAATGTTTTTGTAGCCAATTGACACCTGAAAATGTCATTTAGTTGTAGAATTCTAGTCTAAGTGGACTTTTAGGT